CAATTCCTTGTCCTCTATTCTCTCAGGATTTTGGGCATGCACGCATACATGCCCGGTTTAAGTTTTAAATCACTGGGTCCAGGACTTGAACCACAGTTGAATACCTACGAGTCCAGTGATGTAACCATTACACTGGTCCTATCCTCTAGGGATTTGGGGCACACATACACACACGCCTGGCATGAATTTCAAGCTACTGGGTCCTGGACTCGAACTGTGGGTGACAACAACGTGGGAGTCCAGCGATGTAAACATTACATCTGCTGGTCCCCTGTACTAAGTATCTGTGTCCGCTCAAAATGTGGATTTTTTTTAAAGAATTATTTTATTTAACTTTTTCTGTTTATTTATTTATTTTAATTTGACCAGAGAGGGACAGAGAGAGAGAGAGAGAGAGAGAGGAAGAGGGAGAGAGGGAGAGAGGGAGAGAGGGAGGGAGGGAGGGAGGGAGGGAGGGAAAGTGAGATAGCAAACTGCCAGGTCCAAGACTTGAACCGCAGTCGGCCATGTGGGAATCCAGCACCCATAACCACCACGCCACCTGCCAGCCCCAAAATGTAGATTGTTGAACCTTAATTCCTAGTGTACCAATTTGGAGATGGAGCCTCCAAGGAAGTAATTAAGGTGAAATGAGGTCAGAAGGGTAGGACAAGATTAGTGTATTTATAAGGGAACAGATAAGGGAACGAACCAGAAATTATTTTCTCTGCACAAGCACTAAGGAAAGGCCATGTAAGGACGTAGTGAGAAGGCAGCTGTCTACAAGCCAGGGAGAGAGCCCTCACCAGGGTTTAATCATGGTGAAATTTTTATCTTGAATGTCCTACCTGCCAAACTGTGAAAAAAACAGTTCTATTTTGTAAGCCACCCAGTCTATAGCATTTTGCTATGACAATCTGAGCAGACTAATACACTTTATTTTATCACCTAGTTTATTTTCTTTTTTATTTGATAGAGGGCTCAATGAAGAGGGGAAACTGAGAAAGCACCCTCCAGAAAATATGGTTACATTGCAATCACTTCTCCGCAAATTCTCCTTTTGGGATGCTGGGTGCACACACGTACCCAGTGTATTTTTCATACTGCAAAGTTTGGGACCCAAAATGTGCAATCAGCCATGTGGGATCTAGCTACCTTGACCACAATCTGACCAGCTGGCTCCACCTAGTTTATTTTCATAATAGCACTTATACGGGATCCAGCTCTCTTTTTTTGAATGTTGATTTATTTATTTAATTCTTTATTTTTTTTGGAGAGGTTTTTGCTATAGGGCACGTGCACTTGTCAGAAAGAGACAGAGAGACAGAAAGCGAGAAATCTCCCCCTGGGGGGATGGCCATGCCACAATCCCTTCTCTTCTATTCTCCTCTCAGATCTTGGGTGCGTGCGCACATACACATGCACGCCTGGGATGACTTTAAGCCACTAGGTTCGGGACTTGAACCGTGGTCGCCTACATGTGAGTCCAGCAACATAGCCATTATACCAACTGCTGGTCCCATGTTATTATTATTTTTTAATTTGACCAGAGAAAGGTAGAAAAAGGGCAAGTAAAAAAGTAAGCTGCAAAGTCCAAGACTAAAACTGTAGTCAGCCATGTGGGAGTCTAGCACCCTAACCACTATGCCACCTGCTGGCCCCAAGGATCCAGCTCTCTTAACCACTGGGCTATGGGGACTGAAAAATATCATTCTTATACTCCATGTTGTGTAATATATAGAAAAAAAATATCAGAATCTAACTTTAAGAGGTTAAAGACAAATTGAGGGACATAATGGCTCCATTTCCCATCTCTCTTTTTTTTATTATTAGTTTTTTTATACATTAAAAAAAAAAATGTATGGGGCCAGCACATGGCATGGTAGTTAAGGCACTGGACACTCATACATGGCCAACCAAAGTTTAAGTCCTGGACCTGGTGTTTTGCTTCCTCGCTTTCCCTCTCTCTCTGGCCACATTAAAATAAATGAATGAATAAATAAAATTAAATAAATAATTCTATAAATAAATAAGTAACATTTTAAAATGTATTATTATTATTGTTACTTTTTAAAATTTGCTACGGGGCATGTGTTCTCACCAGAGAGAGAGAGAAAGTGAGAAAGCAAGCTGGCACATCTAGGACAAGAACTGCAGTAGGCCATGTGGGAGTCTAAACCTTAACCACCATGCCACCTACCAGTCCTTTTCAGTTGTTTTTTTATGCCAAAGGGCAAGTGCACATACATTAAAGAAAGTGAGAGAGACAGACAAATCATGCCTCCAACAGGGCCTGGTCATGCCCTCAATCTTTTTTCCTCTGATTTTCCATCTCATCAGGATGCTGAGTGCCTTTTTCTTTTTTAAAATATTATTTTTATTTACTTACTTATTTAAATTTGACCAGAGAGGGACAGAGTGAGAATGAGAGCGGGAAAGTGAGAAAGCAAGCTACCAGGTCTGGGATTTAAATCACAGTCAGCCACGTGGAAGTCTAGTGCCCTTAACTACCTATCACGCCACCTTCTGACCCCAGATGCTGAGTGTCTTATGCATGCACTTGTTGTGAAACCTATGGGCTGGGATTTGAACCCCAGTCAGCAGCATAGGATCCAGTTTCCTCTGTGCAGTACCTAATTCCTATGCCATGGAGCTGACCCATCCATATTTCAGTACAGTGAGACTGAACAGAGTGGGGCTTTGCAGGGTCCTCCTCTGGGCAACAGTGATATCCAAACTGAGGACAAATAGCAAAATTCTTGAGTGTACAAGCAGAGGTACCACTGACCACAGGGTAATGAGAGACGTGAGATTACACGTCAGGGGATAGAATACCAGACAGGCATGGAACAATGCCACCACTCGGATAAGCACAACAAAGAAGCCATATCTAATTATGATTCATCTGTATCTAAGGGCAATTGTTCTAAATCTCCAAGAAGGGCTTAGCAATTTTTTGTTTGTTTGTTTTGGAGAGGATTTTGCTATAGGGTGTGTGTGCTCGCCAGAAAAACAGAGAGAGACAGAGAGACAGAAAGTGAGAAATCAACCCCCAGGGGAGATAGCCACACCGCCATCCCTTCTCCTCCATTCTCCTCTCAGAATCTTGGTCACACCTGCACATGCGCCTGGTGTGAGATTAAGCCACCAGGTCTGGGACTTGAACCATGGTCAACTACATGGGAATCCAGCAACACAGTCATTACGCCAACTGCTGATCCTAGCAATTTTTTTTTTGAGAGGTTTTTGCTATAGGGCGTGTGCACTCACCAGACAGACAGACAGAGACAGACAGACAGAAAGCGACAAATCGCTCCCCAAGGGGGATGGCTATGCTGCAATCCCTTCTCCTCCATTCTCTCCTCGGGATCTTAGGCACAGACGCACACGCGCCCCGCATGGATTTTAAGCCACTGGGGCTGGGACTTGAATCACGGTCAACTACATGGGAGTCCAGTGACATAGCCAATTATACTAACTGCTAGTCCCAGCAAAATTTTTTTTAAGAGAGGTTTTTGCTATAGGGCACACAGACTCGCTGGAGAGACAGAGAGACCAAAGGTGAGAAATTACCCGCTGGGGGATGGCCACACCTCAATTCCTTCTCCTCTTGGGCATGCATGCACACACGCTTGGTGTGAGTTTAAGTTGCTGGGTCTAAGACTAGAACTGCGGTAGACTATGCGGGAGTCCAGTGACATAACCATGTCATCTGCTGGTCCCAAGGCTGATTTTGAGAAGAGCTCTCGAAAGTTTATTTCAAAGATACCAACACACTCCTTACTAACAGGCTGAGCTTTTACTTTCTCTCTTCTGACTGGCAGTCACACACGAACCTGGAATGTCTGGACTTGGAATTTCTCCATCTCCTATCCATGGCTCTTCTCCTTGTTCCAACTTGAAGATGATATCTGGTTTCATAACTTCATAACCTATTCAGAGGGAATTACAAAGGCCTTCAATCCAGCTGCTTGGGCTTTACGGCATCTGATGAACAAACAAGGTTCAAAGTTGGCACATCGAAGTTGCATAAATAAATATTTTATTTAACTGTATTTACCTACTTATTTAAATTTGACCAGAGAGGGAGTGAGAGTGAAAGAGATACAGAAAGTGAGAAAGCAAGCCGCCAGGCCTGGGACTCATACCATGGCTAGCCATGTGGGAGTCCAACACCCTTAACCACCACCACCTGCTGGCTACCTCGAAGCTGCATAAATAGTTTAACATAATAAGTGATTCTCAAAGTTATGGTGATGGTCCACCTGATGACTAACGGGATCTTAAGAATATTTGAGTTCTGTAGTTCAAGCTGAAACCATTACACAATTCAGAAGCTCTAGAGGTAGTCTGCCTAGGTTCAGACCCAGGCTCCTGTTTACTTCTCAGTCCTTAGGAAAGTTACTTAATCTCTCTTTGCCTCAATTTTCTCATCAGCCAAAAAGGCTAACAACTGTACCTGTCCCGAAAACCTTGCTCTGATGATTAAATGACTCAATACATGTAAGCTTAGGTATGGCAGTTATGTAATTAGGTGCTGCTGTTACAATGCTTCAGAAGCTGCATCACAAACTTGAAAGTTCTTCACTGGAAGGTAAGAGCCAAATACTTCCTTGACTTCACAGACCAAGACACTTGGATCTTTTAAATTTAGTCTAAAATCATTAAGTTTTAGAGGTGTCCAGCCCACAGAAACAAAAAAAAGAGCAGTGTAATGGCAGTTTCAGCGCTTGAGGAAGTTTTTCTCACCTAGTGACACGAGGCTGCTATAGTTTTCCAACATGACATCCCTGTACAGGTTCTTCTGGAAGGAATCCAAGAGCTGCCATTCCTTTTGTGTGAAGTCCACAGATAAATCTTCAAATGAGAGTGACTCCTGTAAGAGCACAATTCTAGTAAATTCAAAGCAGTCATTACTCTATGATGTGTGAGAGAAGTACGACAGCTTGAGCACATCATTCTCATCATAGAAAGTTACACAGAATTAACTATTCTTCCCTACCTTTGCACTATATTTTGTGTGATGATATTCCATTATACATTCCTCCACCCTTTATACATGAATAGATAACTTTAAAAAATAATTATTATTTAATTTTTTTTTTATTTTTAATTTGACAAGAGAGAAAGGGAGTAAACAACAAGGACTCGAACTATGGTCGACCATGTGGGAGTGTCCAGAACCTTAACCACCCCGATACCTGCTGGCCCCGATGACTTTTTTTTTGCGGGGGTGAGAGGTTTTTGATATAGGGAACATGCGCTCGCCAGAAAGACAGATAGAGACAGAGCGACAGAAAGACAGAAACCACCTCCCCCCAGGGGGTATGGCCACGCCATAATCCCTTCTCCTCCATTCTCCTCTTGGGATCTTGGACACGCACGCACATGCGCCCAGCATGAGTTTAAGCCACCGGGTCCAAGACTCGAGCCACAGTTGACTACATGGGAGTCCAGCAACACAGTCATTACACTAACTGCTGGTCCCAACTTATTATTGTTTTTTAATTGCCAATGGTGTGTCTGGTTGCCAAAGAGAGAAAGAGAAAGCATGCCCCAATGGGAAGTGGTTGCACACAATACTTTTTCTCCTTTTTCTCCATTTTTCTATCCTGTCAGGATTTGGGGCATGTATATACGTAAGTTCTTGGCGTGTTTTTCAAGCAACCAGGCCTGGGATTCAAACCATGGTCACTCGCATGGATTCAGCTCCCACTGCACAGCAGTTAACCACTGTACAATGGGGCCAGCCCTGGATTATGCAAATTTTAAATCCCCTGAACCACCAACAATATTTTTAAAAGAACTATTTTATTTAACTTTATTTATTTATTTACTTTTAATTTTACCAGAGAGGGACAGAACGAAAGCGAGAAAAGGAAAGTGAGAAAGTAAGGTCCGGAGCTTGAACCACGTTAGGCCATATGTGAGTCCAGCACTATTAACCACCATGCCACCTCTGCATTCCCCAACCAATTTTTTTTTCTTTTAATAAAAACAAATTGTATTTACTTAGAGACATTCAGAATGTCAACAAAACAGCTGCAACTTTTTTTTTTTTTTAATTACAGAGTGGTATTCAGTTAACAGAACAACAATTATTTCGTATAAGGTGCATCAGAGACAACTGAAGATGAAAAAACTACCATCCCCATATATAACTAATTTGTGCTGTGCACCAACAAGAACCTGCTTTAAATTTCCATGCCAATTTACAACTCTCATACTGTATCAGGCAAGGTTAGTGGCTATTGAAAATACCACCAGGTCAGGGCTATCTAAAAACACATTCAGTAGTGTGTTAACTATACAAAAAAAGACACTGTACAGTTTAAAAACAAATCTTACACAGCCTTACATTTCAATTTTTTCTTTAAAAGGAGTGAGTTGTGTACAGGGGAGTTAAATGCTTTATAGACAAGGGAATAAAAAACTGCGCTAGAACCAACTTATTCATCATCATCTTCTTCATCCTCTTCATCTTCCTCTTCTTCCTCATCTTCATCTTCCTCTTTTTCTTGCTCTTTTCAGCCTTGACAACTCCCTTTTTTTGCTGCATCAGGCTTTCCTTTAGCTCGGTATGCAGCAATATCCTTTTTGTATTTTTCCTTCAGCTTAGCAGCCTTTTCATAAGGCTGTTTTTCATCTGCAGCAGTGTGATTCCACATCTCTCCCAAATTCTTTGCAACATCACCACTGGACAGGCTAGGATATTCTCCTTTGATTTTTGGGCAATATTCAGAACAGAACAAGAAAAAGGCCAAAGGAGGCCTCTGGGGGGAATTGGGATCCTTGAACTTCTTTTTTGTTTCCCCTTTGGGAGGGATGTAGGTTTTCATTTCTCTTTCATAATGGGCCTTGTCTGCCTTTGCCATGTCTTCACACTTTCCTTTCTCTTTAGCAGACATGGTCTCCCACCTCTCTAATCACTTCTTAGAAAACTCTGAGAAGTTGACTGAAGCATCTGGGTGCTTCTTCTTGTGCTCCTCCCGGCAAGTTTGCACAAAGAATGCATATGATGACATTTTGCCTCTCAGCTTCTTAGGATTTCCTTTGTCCATGTTTAGTTATCTTTCCTCCATGAGGCAGAGTCACCCAGTGCCCGTCCAGTTCTCACTTGTCCCAGCGCTGTCTCTATGGAGCTCAATGTACTGCAGTGGCTCTCCAACCAATATTTTTTAGCACTCAAATCTGGCCATGAAAAAGGTATTAGCAAAAGAAAGCTAATAATGCTTTCAAAAACTGCTTAGTGTTGGGCCAGCAGGAGGCAAAGAGGTTAAGGCACTGGATTCCACATGGCCAACTGAGCAGTTCAAGTTGTGGACCTGGCGGCTTGAAAATCATGCTGGGTACATGTGCATGCATGCCAAATATCCTGAGAAAAGACTGGAGAAGGGATTGGGAGTGGCAATCATACCCCTGGAGTCGGGTATGATTTCTCACTTCTCTTTCTCTGGGAAGTGCACATGCCCTATAGCAAAACTAAAAAAAAAAAAAAAAAAACTGTTTAGTCTTGCTAAGAGCTTCAACATGTACACTTACAATTAAACTATTTTAACAGCAGAGAGAGACATAAAGGTACCAGGACAGCAGATGGAACAGAGGTTAAGGCAGCTAGATTCCACACTGCTAACTATGTGGTACAAGTCCTGGATCCTAAAGGTCTGAAATGCCAGGTATGTGTGCATACATGCTCAGAATCCTGAGAGAATGGAGAAGGGACTGCGGCATGGCTATCCCCAAAAAAGGGTGATTTCTCACTTTTCCTCTCTCTCTCACTGTCTCTTTCTGGTGAGTACACATGCCCAGGAGCAAACTGAAAAATAATAATCACTTTTTTTGGAGAGGTTTCTGCTATAGGGCACATGTGCTCACCAGAAAGACAGACGGATAGAGAGAAAGAAAGCAAGAAATCACCGTGCAAGTGGGATGGCCATGCCACAATCCCTTCTCCTCTATTCTCCTCCTGGGATCTTGGGCATGCAGGCACACGCACCCGACGCGAGTTTAAGCCACCGGGTCCAGGACTCAAGCTGTGGTCGACTACATGGGAGTCCAGCGACATAGCCATTACGCCAACTGCTGGCCCAAATAATACTGTTCTTTTAAAAAAGAGTTGTTTATGAGCTACCCACCCCTGTAGTAGTAGTTCAGGAAGCCAGGTCCCCCACTACCAAATGCAAGTCAAATCCCAGCCCCAGTGGCTTGAAAAATATTCTGGGCATGTGTGCCCCAAATCCTAGTGGGTAAAGAAACTGAAAGGATTGCAGCATGGCCATGCCCCTCTGGGAAATGCTTTCTTCTATCTATCACTATGGTAAGCATAAGAACACTGACAATATAATAAAAAGTGGTATCTCTGGGACCAGCAGGTGGTGTGGCACTGGATTAAGGTTAAAACAATGGATTCCCACATGGCCGACCATGATTTGAGCACCAGACCCAAGAGCCTGAAAAATCACTCTGGCATATGTACATACATGTCCAAAATCTAGAACAGAGAAGGGATTACAGCACAGCCATCCCCAGGGGTGATTTCTCACTTTCCCTCCCTCTGCCTCTCTCCCATCAGCACACATGCTTTATGACAAAAATCTAAAAGAAAAACAAGCTATTTATTTACTTATTACAAACCCAAAAATCTGGGAACCAAGTTTGCAACTCAAATTCAGTAATTATGTAAGACACTGAAGTTTACAAATATTCAAACCTTAAGAACTTAAGGTCTGGGACTAGCAGTTAGTTTAATGGCTATGTCGCTGGACTCCCATGTAGTCGACCACAGTTTGAGTCCCAGTCCCAGTGGCTTAAACTCACGCCGGTGCATGTGCATGTGTCCCCAAGATCCCGAGAGGAGAATGGACTGCGGGGTGGCCATCACCCCTGAGGGGTGATTTCTCACTTTCTGTCTGTTTCTGTCTTTCTGGTGAGCGCACGTATCCTATTTAAAAAATAAAAACAAAAAACTCTCAAAAATAAAAAAGAACTTAAGGTCTTATAGCTAATAAATCACTGCTTCAATTTTTCAATTTTTTCTCAGTCCTGATCTTCCATTCTTAGGATATTTTTCTCGATTTCTTTTTCTAAGTTTTGCTATAAAGCATATGCACGAGACAGAGACAGGGAAAGTGAGAAATCAACCCCCAGAGGATGGTCACACTGCAAACCCTTCTCCTCCATTTCCTTTTGGTATTATAGGCATGCATTCAAGCATCCACACAGGCCCAGTGTATTTTCTCAAATCACTGGGTCCCAGACTCGAACCCCACAGTTGGACATGTGCGATCTAGTCCCTTAATCTCCTCTCCATCTGCAGGACTTCCCCAGAATGCTTAACTATATTTTAACTAAACTTTTTTACTAAAAGATATATATCTCTTCTAGTCGTTCAGAAAAATAGCAAGGAATAAACAATGAACTCACCTGGAACGTGGCCATTTCCTGCTGCATGTGCACGAGGACTACAAGGTTGAGGTCTGTTCTATTAAGTGCCTCTCCTGCCTCCGTCCAAAGCTCTGAAGTGTGGTCTTCTCCAAAGAAAAATTCCTGGTTCCAGGCACTCCCCTTATCTCCCACCCATGAACAGGCTTACTTATGGGAAGCCAGGATCTGTGAACTTAGGGATAAAGGCACTTTATTTTTTAAAGAATTATTTTATTTAATTTTATTTACTTACTTATTTTAATTTGACCAGAAAGGGACAGAGCAAATAAGACAAGGAAAGTGAGAAAACGAGCTGGCAGGTTCAGGACTTGAACCGCAGTTGGCCCTGTGGGAGTCCAGCATCTTTAACCACCATGCCACCTGCTGGCCCCAACAAATGCACTTTAACTGGTATATTCACACTGCACCTGAAATCTTTTCCTTTCTTCTTAGGGCCCACAAATTCATGATCATCTAAGGCCAGTGTATATTTGCTATGTAACTAAAACAGGGCTCTTGGAGACAGAAATACAATGTGTTAGAACAGTCTTTATCTCTGCCAGCAAATAAAGAAATAGAAATAAAGTAATTCTGAGATTAATTAAATATTCAGTCTAGATATTGAAATGCAAATCATTTTAACAGATGCTACAAAGAAAAAGACTATTTTAGGGAGATGTGATTTTTCAAAGTTTGTGTAATTTTTTTTTTAAATGATTAGCTTCTCTGGGGCAGTGGTCGCTGAGGCAGCGGCTGTCAGAAGACAGACTCTGAGCCTCAGGTACTACAACTTTAGTGGCTCCATGCAGAAGTACCAGCTATCATATTTGCCTTACTAACTAAACTGATCTCTAACTTCACTGAATATGATTATGCTGGGAAAAACAAAGTTCCAGTGCTGCAGGAGTTTTTCCAGAAATCTGATGAGGTGTGCCCATCCACCTGAAATGAAGCTTGCCTGACCAAATGCTTTACCAACCACCATGGCCCAGTCTGTAGGACGGAACATCCACTGTCTGACTGCACTCTACATGGCTTCACAGCCCAGAAACAATGACCTGGAGTGCAGAGAACTGGTTTGCTTTTTGGCATACACCCTTTAGATTTTTATTTTTGCCCCCTTTTTTTTCTTTTCTTTGGCTTATATGACCTACTTAATGTTTTTTCAAGAAAAATACAAAGATACAAAGACATTATTTTCATTTGTTTATGAACTCTATAGGCCCTGTGGGTGCTCATTCAATAGAATTACTGTTTCAACAAAACAAGCTGTGCTCTGCATTTGGGCTTCTGATTTCCCTGGAGGTTGTGGACAAAGGCTGTACACAGGCTCATTAATACCAGGCTATGCTGAGGACCTTGGGAATCTGAGGTTGTGTTTTTGAGCATGGCATGTAGAAAGCATTCCAGATTTGGATGTGACTGAGGAGAGAAGACAGAAGTCAAGTCGTGTTGCATGAAATGAAGGGTTGAAGTTAATAGTCACCTTGGGATTCTCTCATTTTGCAGTAAAATGTTAATAGAAATTTATTTGCATTCTGTCTCTGTTCAGTATTGGGCAGTTTGCTTCAAAGGGTTATCTGCCTCATCTCAGCTCTTTAGTGAGATTGTATGTGTAACTGATGTGTATTTACTCCACCATGGGACAGAACACCTGTTTAGTGCTGCACCCTAGATCGGTGTCTGCTGTGTTAATGTAGCTTGCCACAAATTCTCCTTTGTTTTAAAAATGTTAAATCTTGGAAACCAGCAGTTAGCGTAATGGCTATGTCGCTGGACTCCCAGGTAGTCGACCGCGGTTCGTGTCCCAGACCCGGTGGCTTAAAACTCACGCTGGGCACGTGTGCGTGCGTGCCCAAGATCCCGAGAGGAGAATGGAGAAGAGATTGCGGCGTGACCATCCTCTCTGGAGGGTGATTTCTCGCTTTCTGTCTCTATGTCTCTCTGTCTGGCGAGCGCACACGCCCTGTAGCGAAAACCTCTCAAAAAAAAAAAAAGCTAAGTCTTGAGGGGTCAGGAGGTGGTATGGTGGTTGAGGTGATGGACTCCCAAAGACTGACCATGGTTCAAGATCCAGAGGTAGCGGGTTGCTTCCTCACTTTCTCTTTCTCTCTCTCTCGTGAATCCATGTACCCTATAGCAAATTTTAAAATAATAATAATAAATAAAATTAAATAAATATTTTTAAAATGTTGATTTTAAATTATGACTTGTTTTTACTATGGAATACATGAATAAAAAGAATTATTATTTTATTCAACTTTATTAATTATTATTATTATTATTCATCTAACGAGAGAAACATAGAGGGAGGGAACAGGAGAAAGCAATCCACCAGGTCCAGGACTCGAACTGTAGTTGGCCATGTAGGAGTCCAGTGCCTTTAACCACCACACCACCTGCTAGCCCCAAAAGCTTGTGATTTGGGTTAAAACAGAACTGAAGGGCCAGCTGGTGGCATGGTTGTTAATGCAGCTGGATCTCCTGGCCAACTGCATAGTTCAAGTCCTAGACTCAGCAGGTTGAGAAACACACTGGGTGCATGTGTATGCATGCCCAAACTCGAGGGAGAAGAATGGAGAAGGAATTGCAGTGTATCCATCCACTGTGGTCAGGAGGCTGAGGAATGTTATTTCTCACTATTGCTCTCTGTCTCGCTGGCAAGAACAAAAAAAATTTCCCGGGACCAGCAGTTGGCATAATAGCTATGTCACTGGACACCCAGTTCGAGTCCTAGACCCAGAGGCTTAAACGCAGGCCAGGCATGTGTATGTGCATGTCCAAGATTCCAAGAGAACGGAGAAGAAGGGATTGTGGTGTGGCCATCCCCTCTGGGGATGATTTCTTGCTTTCTGTCTGTCTCTCTGTCTCTCCGGCGAGCGCACACTTACTATAACAAAAACCTCTCAAAAAAAAAAAAGGTCCCAATAAGATTATAAATTAGTTGATTTTTCCTCATAATTCTATTGCTATATGGATTGTAGGCTTAAAGCTATGTTGTTTGATGCACCGATTATATATGTCAGTATATCTATATATTTCTAGGATTACTTCTATTTTGTAATGACACTCCATATCTCAAATAATGCTTTTCGCCTTAACATCTATTTTACCTTAGAAAAGGTTGGTAATAGCAGCACTCTTCTGGTTAGGATCTGCCTGGTATATCATCTTCCTTCTAACTACATTAAAATTTCAGCATCACTGTTTATCCCTTATAAGCAGCTCAGAACTCAAATTAGTTGGAATGTAAAAAAAAATATGAAATCAATAACCAAATTTCTTCCTATGGGTTTTATTCTTTGGCTCTGCCACAGGGTGCATATATTTGCCAGAAAAAAAGAGACAAAGAGAGAGGAAAAATGAGAAAGCACCCCACAATGAGGCATGGTCACACTGCAATCTCTTCTCCATTCCTCCATCCTGTCAAAATTTGGGGCATGTCCACACACATACCTGGCATGTTTTTCAAGCTGTCAGCTCCTAGACTCGGACCACATGGTCTGCCATGTGTGATCCAGTTTCCTTAACCACCAGGCTATGAGCTGGCCCCAGTAATCAGCTTTTTGTTTTTAAATTTTTCAATTTTGCTGTAGGGCGTGTGCACTCACAAGAGAGTCATAGAGAAAAAGTGGGAAAGCACCCTTCGGGGGGTGACCACGCCACAATTCCCTCTCTTCCATTTCTCCATCCTTTCAAGATTATGGCCACACAGGCACACACACCCTGTGTTTTTCAAGCTGCCAGGTCCAGGACTCAAACCTTATGACCGGCCACATGGGATCAAGCTACCTTAACCACCAGACCACCTGGCTAGCTGTAAAAGCTTTTTAACTGAAAAATTCAGTATCAATATATTTACTGTAGTTCTTATATTACCGCCTTTCCCCCTCTCCTTTCTTCTCTTATGAGTAGCTATCTCTATTTGGTAAAATAGTAAGGGTAAAACAGATCTCACAGTAAAATTCTGATAGATATTGACAGCAACTGGTACTGATAATAACAACAACAGCTAATATTTGAGGCTTTTTTTTTTTTGAGGCTTTTTTAAAAGAATCATTTTGTTTAACTTTATTTTTATTTACTTTTTTTTTTTTTTTTGGAGAGGTTTTTGCTATAGGGTGCATGCGCTCACCAGACAGAGACAGAGAGAAAAAGTGAAAAATCACCCCCCAGGGGGATGGCCACGCCACAATCCCTTCTCCATTCTCCTCTCAGGATATTAGGCAGGCATGCATATGCACCCGGCGAGTTTATGGGACTCAAAATGCGGTCTAATACATGGGAGTTTAGCGACACAGCCATTACGCTAACTGCTGGCCCCTCATTTACTTATTTTAATTTGACCAGAGAAGGACAGAGTGAGAGAGAGAGA